AATGGCTGAAGTTGGAGGAGTGACACTATGTAACATCAAGGCATATTATCGGACCTCAGAGTGGATCCCAGCTGGTTACAGAGCCAAGAGATGAATAAACAAATAAATGCAACAGAACACAGAGTCTAGACTAGACCTACACAACCACAGCCAGAAGATCTCTGACAAAGGAAGAGAGACAATTCAGTGGAGAAAGGAGAATGTTTTCAACAAAGGTGCTGAAACAGTGGGACATTCATTTGGGAAAAGTGAATCTAGATTCATACCATTCACAAAAATTAAATCATAATGAATTATAGATCTAAATGGGGAACTGTAAAACTTTTAGAAAGTACTCTAAAAATCTAGGCAATGTTGGGTAAGTTTAAAGATATAATATTGAAAGCATGACCCCTGGAAAAAATTGATAAATCAGACTTCATTAAAATTAAAAACTTCTGCAATGAAAAGACATTGCTAAGTAAACAAAGTAACAATGCACTGACAAAAAGAAAATATTCCAAACATATTCCTGACATAGGAATTATACCTAAAATATATGAAGAGCTCTAAAATTTCAGTAGTGATACTGATAATGATAGCAATAGTAATAAAACATCACAATTACAACTCGGCTAATGATCTATCTGCACGTACACCTCACCAAGTGATCCCGTAACATGATGCCCACCGTCATTTGCCATTCCTGTCCCGGAAGTGAAGAATCAGTGAAATACCACTTCATGGAAACTGCGGAAATGCTGTGCCAGCCATTCCAGGTCCTTATGAGTGCCAAGCTGCCAAAAACGGATCCATTCATCAAAAATTACATACATTAATATCACTACAGATGCACAAAAAGCTTCTAAGCTTCTTTACAAGTTTTCCAAACTCCGAAACCTTGACACTAGCATGTATCAGTGGAGAAACAGGCAAGCTTGTTCATTTTGGCAGAGCAGAGAATTACCTTAGAGGTGTCTTAGGCGATTTCTTACATAGCTAAGTTTTTTTCTTACCATGCATCAACTAGAGATACTTACCCAAGCAAACTGAAAATAGAGCGACAAAGTGGAGCACATAAAGATTCTAGCACCATTCTCCACAATTTCCCCAAATTGGAAACCACAAAAATGTCCTTTGATAAGTGAATGTATAAGCAGATTCTGGTACATCTACATGATGGAATATTATAAGAAGGCAGCTTTCTCCCCATGGAAAGACACGGGTGGAGAGGGGTCTTAGAACATATTTTTAAGTGAAAGGAGCATGCCTGAAAAGTCCATGTTATACGATCCCGACTGTCACATTCCTGCAAAGGCAGTGTTACAGATAACAAGAAAGCACTAGGAGTTTTGGGAAGGTGGAAAAAGGGATGAATAGACAAAGTATGGGGGATGTTTACAGTGGCAAAACTATTCTATATGAGACTATAATGTGTTTAAATAACATTTCACATTTGTTCAAACACATAGAACTGTACTACAGAGAGGACAAATTGTCGTATACACTATAAAATGTAGTTAAAAAGAACATTTCAATATCGAACCAGAGGCTTAACCAATGATACACACTGATGCAAGATATCAGTGAAATTGTGTAAGAGAGTTGGGATATAGAGAAATTCCCTATTATCTACTCAATTCACCTATTGGAATCAAACTGACCAAAATTAAGTTCAGAATAAAAATTACGTGCATTAATATCATCTCTAACAATGTCAGATTAGTATGCATAGGGTAAGCTTTTGAATTCAGAGGTTGATACAAGTTTTCCAAATTTTAATTTTTACTTAAGGTGCAAATTTTATCGTGGGCAGCAAAATCTCCCAGTTAGCCTTGAATTAGCAAGCTTTCTTCCTTCGCTTACAAGACAAATTTCGGAAAACAGTCAAGTCTGAAGAATCAGTTTTTTTCATTTTTCCTTCAATTAAAAGTAGGTGGTTCGTGCAAAAAGAGTCTCACAAAGCTCACAGACCAAAGCAGAAGCACTTTTCTCAGGACCAACATTCTACTCTGGTGGGTGATGGAAAAGATGTTATGTGTCTGCCCATTTCATCATGCACATTATTAAAAAGGCATCGCATAATCAATGCTCAGGTTTTAGGAAGGCTCACTGGTTTTTATTATTCAATCAAAGGTTTCAGCCAAACTTGGTTTTCCATTCACCCTTTACCCCTGACCTTTTCATTTTTTCCTGCGAGTCGTGGTTGAGCAAAGATCAGTCACCTGAATGCTGTAAATGGAAGCTTCAGGGCACAGACCAGGCGTACTCTCTCTGGGGTGCTTTGCATTTGATTTTTGCCTTCTGCCAGCTAGTGCCACTCCTCCCCTCCCTGCGGGTTCTGCTTCCGTGCCTGCCTGGGAGTCTCCCTGGCCCTGTTCTAGGCCAGTGTCAGGCTCCTCCTTAGCTTGTGGATCACAATTTGAGCTTTGATTTTTCTTCTTGTCATATCTTTACAACACGAAGCAGCCATATTGCACATGTTTGCTTCTTTCTTTCTCTCTCTTCAGTGAGCTATTCATCCCTGGTGGATGTGTGGTGAGAGTGAATCTGTGGGCTGTACTTTTTCCATTTTCCTGAGTGTTTCAGGCAATGGAGATCTTGCTTATATTCACAGCATTTGCCCTTTGCTAAAATTACTTTTTAAAAAGGCATCTGTATATTGTCTGACCCTTCCATCAGATGGCAGGCTGCAAAAGGGTATAGAATTGTGCCGTGATCTTTATTGGATTTCAAGTCCAGAGCACTGTGTGACGCAAAGTGGGCTCCCAGGAAATGTTTAGCACAGGGTAAACAGGTAAACAAACAGCAACTTCCACGTGCTGCTCGGGTTAATTTGTGGAACCCCTGTTCAGCTGTGTCCTCCCACCCAGGGCCTCAACTCACAGCTTGCTCCTGGCACCTCCTGTGCATGTGAACTTTACACCCCTCTAGATTCCTCAGCTCTAGTCCATAACCTTTTTCTTTTTTTTTTTCTTTTTGTGCTAGGGATCACACTCTGGCCCTTGTGCTTTTGAGGCAGGAGTGGAACCACTTAGCTAAATCCCCAGCCCCTCTTTTTTTTTTTCTTCAAGTGTATCCTTGACGGTGAAAGTGCTCCGCTCAGCTCATCCTGCTCTTAGGCCTATCCTGCACCACACCCAGATCTTGATTCTATTAAACTCTTAGAGAGCAGATCCCCCTGATTAACACTAATCCCAAACTAGGAAAACACAAGGACCACAAATCTGGCATGCCTTTGAAGATCAGGGAGATTTCCCGGTCAAAATATGACTCCAACAGAAGAAAGAAATTGTAGAGAGTTGGCTCTGAGTCTTTTTAAGAAATTGTTTTGCACACAACTCTTTACAATTTCTTTAAATGTCTGACCACTGCCAAGGTTTGTTCTGGTTTTTAAACTCTGGTCAGAGAATTTTGAGCTAGGTAGGAGCCTAATGGATGCCATTCAAAATGAGTAGTACTTCTCCAATTTGTGAAACATGGCATTTAAGCAAATAACAACCTTTCACTGCTGGATTCTGGTACAGCAATGCACACCCACCTCTCATTCCTCCTGTTAAAGCTCCTGATAAATGTGACTCATTTGATATCTTTGTCAGAGGAGCAACACCTTGGTATGGTTTGTGTGCCTTTGAGAGCTTTGGCTTCTCCTTATCTTGTCAAATCGGATACTTTTGTAAGGATAAATATTCCTTACCAGTCTCTGGACAGTTAAACCACATAAGGCATCCATCGGTAGCCATTTTGTTTTTCCTTTTTAACATTTTCTTTAGAAATCACTTCTATGTCAGGGCATTCTTCAAATAGCCCACATTTTGACACCCACATTAATATCAAAAGAGACCATTTAATGAACAGTGTTCTTACGGAGAAGAATGAAGGCCTACTGAACAGAGGAATAGTTTAGATTGTTCGCCCTGTGAAAGGTCACCTCTGGAGAGGGAGGACTTAGCTCCGGCCCGAGGGGAAGGCAGCCCTAGTGCTGTGGTCTCGCAGGCACAGTCTCTCTGAGCTCAAGCACCTGGCTCCTGCACAAGGAGGTGAACGACACACCAGCCCTCCTTTGGGGGCCAGCTGAGGGAGCAGGCCTCCCCTCCATGACTCAGCCAGCCGGCTGTGAAGCTGAGGAAGGCTTTTTTAAGACTGGGCAGGAGGGAGGAGGAGGCAAGAGAAGAGGGCCGGAGGCTACGCAGAAACTCAGTCTTCCGAACAGTGCACAGGGTGGGGCAGCAGTTGGAGCCTGGAGACTTGGTCTGGGCGGGAGGCACGGTGTGCGTCAAGGTGATATTTGGAGAGGGAAGCAACTAAAGCAGAAGGCGAGGACCCCGGGGTTGGTGACAGAATCCCAGGACGCCTCTGCGCCCCGGCTTCGCAGCCTGGAGAGCTCAGAGAACCGGCCCCGCAGTCTGCGGTGCCTTTGGCAAGCAGGGGCTGCCCCGGCCCCTCGGCGGCTCGCTGGAACTTGGGAGCCGGACCCCACCCGCAGCCCCGCTGTTTCCTCCTGGCGTCCGGGTACAGACAACGACTTCACCTCTCTGGCGCCCATGTTCTGATCTCCAAAGCAGAGGGAACGTTCGTGCTGTCCTCTAGGTACCGTGCGTGTCGTCAAGAAAAGTGAGGAACGGAGCACGAGGGCTGACATCGAGCAAAAAGCACCGCGGTCGGTGACGGTGGCGATGATGGTGCCGACACAGCCGCCAACTGCCTTGGTTTCCCTGAGGACCTCAGCCCTCATCGCCTTCGCACAGAAAGCTCGCAGCCCGCGTCTACCGGGGGAGGGACAGACTGAACCCGAGGGAGGACAGGGTTCCGGGCCTGTCGTGGGGCTCCGGGTCTCTTCCTTCGGCCGCGCAGCCTCCCCTGCCTCCTCCTCCTCAGCCGCCGGTGTTTCTTGAGCTCTCGCCCCGAGCCACACGCTGCTCAGTGCAGGCTGAGTGCTTTCCCTGTTTATGCCTAGCTATGCCCCCGAGGGAAACGAAATGCTGTTATCACCGCGTTGCCGTGGAGGAAATCGCAAGGTCATCGCCGCGCGCTCTGTGCAGCAGCCCGGCCTTCGAAGGCTCTGCGAGGCTCACCAGGGCCGCAGCACCCGGGAGGCTGCCGTCTGCAGCTGGGCCCACGCAGCCTGGCACCCCCTGCGGGGAGACTGCTCCCTGGGATTCCTGGTGCCCTCTCTGGCCTCCCCCACTCCTCCTCCTCCTCCTCCTCTCCCTCCTTCTTTCCTCTCCCCTCCTCCTCTTCCTCCTCCTTGCTGGGGGAGAGGAGCAGCTAACGCTCTCTCTCTCCCACTAACGCTTGTGTTCCGCGTGTTTGTGAGCTCAGGCATAAGCCGGGAGCCCCAGACCGGTTCTTGAGATGCAGCTAGAGGCTCGTGTGGGTCAGGCTGTGGAGAGAGGATCCCCGGAATGAGTGGCCAGAGGCAGGGGCTGCGCCCTCAGCGGCCCCCTGGGAGGCTGGCTAGAGGATCTCTGCACCTATGGAGACCTGTGCAACAACCGGCTTGCAGTTCACTGTGAGAGGGCTCATTGCCGTCGCCTTCCTGCAGCCCACTGTGCTCTGGGGAGCTGGTAACCGGGAAATGAGGCCTCCTCCTCTGGGCTGTGAGCAGGTGGGTGAGGCTGCGGTGGGTGGGCCTGCGGACGGAGATGCACCCGGAGGCTGACTGGCAGGCAGCGCAGGGTTATTTTTCTTCCTGGTTCCCCACCCTTCTTTTTTTCCTCTAATCTATAGTAGGCAAAGAAATCCTCCTCGGCATTTTCAAGGTGATTATTTTTGAAAAGATTCCAAGAGATGAGCTATGTGCTGTCTCAGCTCTTTGGTGCTATTGATTCTCCAAAGCCTTGCAAGGAATAATTCTTTACCAGGGGCCCACGGTGCTGAGGACGCTGGGGAGCCCAGCCTTGCTGTTTTTCAAGGGAAGCACATGCAAGGCAGCAAATACTGGACCACCTGGAGACTAGTTGTTAGTTTTGCACCCAAACTTCATGCTCCATCCCCAGCATTGGATAGTACTGGATCTAAACTTGCTTTAGAAAACCCCACCCTGAGCCTCAGTACCCGACACCGGGTGAGGTTGACCAGTAGCCCAGACCCACAGCCCTCAGCATGCACTTTGTAATGACAATGCTGGATTCAGACAGGGGCCTGACACTCATGTCAGACCAACGAAGGTCGTGTTTAATATCACACTATTGAAGAAGAGAGAAAATATTGCTCTTTAATTTGCAAGTAGAAGTGACACACTGAATTTTAAAAATTAATCTTAGAGAGGAAGTCTGTGAAAATGGAATTATGCTATAGGATTTGGGGGATTAAAGAGAAGGACAGATCTAAGTGATTGATGCCAGCTGAGCTCCTGGTTCCAGCTGTCCCTGTGCTGGTTTCTATGCCTGAATTTTTTCATCATATGAAGCAATAAGATCCCTTTGCACTGCAGTAAGTTCATAATGTTTTTACTGCCACAGGAAAACATGGCTTTCTACTGGGGCAATGTTGCCATCAGGGGACATTTGACAGTGTCTGGAGATAATTTTGGTTGTTCCCATGGGAAAGAAGCTTATTGGTATCTGATGGGCCAATCTCAGGAAATCTGCTAAATGTCTTAAAATGCAAGTATAACTACCCACAACGAATAATTATCTGGCCTCAAAAGTCCACTGCTGATGCCGACAGACAAACATCATCAAGGAGACCATAAACAGGCTGTCTCTCTCACAACCTCTGCATGAAACACTTCCTCTTATCATGGATGAAATCTTGGTTGAGCTATCTTTGGGGCGGGGTGGGCTGGTGATTCAAAAGAAGCCAGCCAGCCAGTCCTGACATTAGCTCCAATAGCTCTGGTTTTCATATGGAAATGACCAGTACTTTCAGTCCAGACAAAGCCCCTAGATTTTCTGTCTCTGCTCTAGTGGTGTCATGTCAATATTTAGGAGTAGGAATTGTGCAGGTTCTTAGGCTCCACCCACCACTCCTTTAGTGCTTTTATCTCTATGTCAGGTAGCCACTTCTGTTTCTCCATAAGGAGAAGCAAGTGGAAGACTGGTCCTCACAGAATCCCCAGCTGGATAAGTGATCTAAAGGTACATGTGATCACAATTGGAAATTCTACTAGGAGATTCTGTAGACTTTTCAGCCTTGATTCATGGGGTCTTGTTTCTGGTGCTCACTTCCCGTGTCTGTCTTCTTCTGAAACAGACATCTTCGAATCTGGTAAACTCATCGTTGGTGTACTACAAGTGGCTGCAGTGATGTTTTTGACTAGGAGGGACTTGGTGGTATGTGATGTGAGCAAGAAGGTCTGGGAAGTGGTGAAGTGCTTAAACTCAAACTGGACTGGAGCCCTTTCCAGTCCCAGACTCTCTTGCTCACCTCTTCGTAATGTGGTGTTTCTTCCACTTCTGTATCACTGTGACCCGACCCTTGTTCAGAAATTAATCTCAGAACCCTGTCACCATCAAGCAAATTCTGTACTGTTTGGAATTGGTGTTTGGATCCAAAGGGAGGCTTGCCACGTGCGTGGGTGTGCACGAATGTGTGCGTGTGTGCATGTCTCCCATCATCCATCAACACTGCTTCACTTTTTAACGTCCACAACAATAGCTTTTTGTCTTGTGCAACATTCTGCGTGTCGGTGCGGCTTCAGTCACCAGTGGCTCCACTCCCATCGGTGGCCAAGCCGTGCCTCCTCGTTTGCAGGGATTCCAGAGCTTGCCCTTCTCGGCTTTCCTCTCCACGGGTCTTCTCCTTTGCTTACCCGTGGAACGTGGAGCAGAGAGGTGGATGCTCGACTTTCTGATCCCACGCGTGGAGGAGTAGGGAGGAAGGACAGGGATCAGATGCTTTGTCATCTTGCTAATTTTCCTACAGAATATCTGAAATCAATCATCCTCCCACCAGAGAGTGCTTTTCTGATTTACAGATGATTTATAGAAACTGAAGAAAGAAATAGTGATTACCTCCCTAAGGCACGGTGCTGATAAATGACAAACTCTAGGCTCCAATCCAGTTGAATCTCTCTCCAGTGACTGCTTTCATAACTGCTATGCTAAAGTACCTTCTTGGGAGTGTTGGGTTTTGTTCAGAGTTGACCTTCCCAATTACATAGTGAGCAGGTTTTCTCCACACTTATAAGTCTCATTATAATTATTGAGGAAGAGACTGAATGAAATGAAGTCAACACCACCAAGCACTGCATCTTCTCTCTGGGTGACTGATTTATGAAATGAGCGATGCTTGGTAGTGTGCAATCAGGAAGCAACTTCAAATTCTGTCAGATCTACCCCTCAGTTTTCACTCTATGGATTTACTATCATGCCATATTGTTGATATATTGTCACAAAACAAATCACCCCCAAAGTTTAAGAGCTTACAATTATAACTTTTTTACATCCCAGAGTTTCTGAACGTCCAGATCTGAGGATGACTTAGCTGGTGGCTCTGGTTCCAGGACCGGAACAGGGCTGCAGTCACCATGTCAGCCAGGCAGGCAGTTGTCTGAAGACTTGGATGGGGCTGGCCTCTCGCTTCCAAGGTGGGTTGCGAATCTGTCTCTAAGTCCAAGTCCTCAGTTCCTCACCGTGGGGCCCTATGGAGTTGCTTGTGTATCCTCTTGTCACGGTGGGCAGCTCTTGTCAGTGTGTGTGATACAATAGAGCAAGTGAGGAATTATAGTATCTTTTATGACTCAGTCTTGCAGTGTTCCCTCTGCCATATTGTTCTCCTTACAAAGGAGTCCTTAAGTTTAACCCACACATGCAAGGAGGAGAAATGAACTGTACCAGTTGAAGAAAGCATTTTTGGACACATTTTAAAGCTGCAACAAATGATCTCCTGAATAAAATCCCAGGCATGAACCCTAACTTTTCTGGCCAGTCTCATATAGCAAAACTTCCTGGTCCAATCTAACACAGATTCTTAATCAGTTTTAAGCTTCTCATCTTCCTGTCTTGGGTTTGCTCCCTGAAGGGAAGGAAGAATTTGTTTTAGTATGTCTGTTTTCCTTGCCAGTGTAGGAGGACCCTCTAGAGTCGGGCACCCTTGCAGTGGGACAGGAGGTGACAAAGGCACACAGTGCTCTGTTGATTTCCAGGTGGAAGGATTTTCTTATTTGGCTTATTCTGTTATTTCCACTTATCACTTTCTTCTCAGAGTCATTCTTCCCTTATCTCAGCCATATCCAAGACCATGAGTGCTTTCTTAAAACCCCAATTAAAAAAACAAACAAAAAACAAAAAACAAACTCATTTAACTTAGGATGAGAAAAAAATATCATTTTTCTCTCAGCATTGACAATGATGTTTTTCTATTGATACCATTTACAGCTAGCAAAATAGAAAACCTCATCCACACAATCTTTGCTTTATGTCCAACCTTATACCTTCAACTTCAGAGTATGATGAACTAAAGATTAATATATATAATTGGCATCTTTAACACATCCAATTTTGAGGCCTGCTGCTGATAATGTTATTTCCAATGTGTTGATACCTTTATAGAACTTTTAAAGAACAGGAAAAAATACACTTAACCTTCTATTACATCTGCATGAGCTGACTAATAATTACTCTGATTGTGGGCTCTTGAAGATTAACTTAGATAATTTTTCTCCTTGAAGTGGAGCTGAGAAATTTTATCTCCATGATCAAAAGCAACAAAACTTTGGTTCCATAGCTCCTGATAAAATTGATAATTTTAGATTCATGTTTGACTGTGGCGTACATCTGGTTGGGGAAGTAGAACATGCTGTACTTGTGGAATCCATAATGACTTTTAGCTGTATTCTCACCAGCAGAGAGACCTCCTGTCACAGAGGACCATCTTTCTGAGGAGCCCTATAGACTCTGGAAATGTGGTCCAATCACACACATTTATTATTGATACATCACTTAGCCCTCTGGCCTGGAAGTGCTTTGCCTGACAAAACCCTATTACCTCACCTGTTATATTTACTTCTCAGAAGAAAATAACTTTGCAAGTTGTCCTGAAAAAACAGTCACAGATTCAAAATTCTGCCAATGCCTTGGAAATTTATTTCCACCATCCCTCTGAGATATGGGGATAGATATTTGATTTATGGATAGAAATGTGTGTGTTTCTTTCTGTATTAAAATGCCTTAGTGTTCTCTTTGAGGGCTTTTATAGCACTTTGTCACAGTAACAGGTGTGGAGTGGATGCTTTGCTCACACATTAACTTGTGTAGATGAATGGACAGGTGAATAAAGAGATGGAACATTGGAGAACTAAAGGCTGAAATGTTCTTAGCAAACTCATTTGACAAAATCACACACTCCCTTCCTAGAGAGCCAGTCTTGTCCTCTCCCTAACCCTGCTCTATGAAACTGCCCAACTAGTTATGGATGATTACAGCATGATGACCAGCTGCTTCACTGTGGGCCAAACAGAATCAAATTTAGTGACTGACCAAGTATCTGGTGGCCCTCTGTCCAGCAGTGCTGATGTTGCTGGTTTACAGAGAGAAGCACAAAGGATGGACACAAGGAACAGCTGAGACATTATCCCCAGCTCACTCTGCTTGCTTTTCTTCCCACCATGTAGCACACCATAAGATTTGCCTATTTGTGTTTCTATTTTACTTGTGCATTATAGGAATTCCTCAGTAGAACTCACCATGTGACAACAGGACCTCCTCCATCTGGGTCATTCCTCTCTTCCCAGCACTGTAGAATGGTGCTTGTACACTGGAGGGCTTTTTAATAAATGAGATATCATAAGTGCTCCCACTCACGTCTACTGTCTCGAAGAGACTTCTTTTATACCATAAGAGTGCCAACACCTGGGAACCCAAGCTGTGTGTGACATCATCTCACGCATTGGTGAGATCTGTCCCAGGATGACTGCCCACTTACTTTCCCACCAATAGAACCCTATAACAAGGATCTTACTCATCTCTTCCCAGACCTGGCTTGTAGTGTGTGTTCAACCTGTTCATTTTCAACCCACTCAAACTGATAAGTTTTATGTTAATCCACAGCTATAGACCACAGGCAAATGTCCCCACATTTTCTTTATTCTTTTGGCTTCAAATCCTGTGTCACTTGTATTCTTCAGGTAGTTCTGCCAATGACGGTGCTGAGGATACTTAACTTCTCTTGGCCTGAAGCCTCTTTAAGGCTATAGTCAAGAATTAAGTATCACGTAGTGTGTGAGTGCAGTGCTGGCCTGTTTAATGCTGAAAATCTGGGGGAGTCTTAGGGAGATACATCTAAGCACATGACCCATCTGGGATGGAAGTGAAAACTCCTTCCTTGGAAAGGACTTCCAGAAACCCAAAGCCCTCAGAGTCCTGTGCTGGGGAAGTGGCAGGAAGTTTGCCCCCTGACTCATCTGTGTGGTGCATTTGGTGCTATCGATCTCATATTGGCAGGAAGAGGCCCACACACCTCAGGAGTGAGGTGTGGGATGCATTGTTCAGTTCTGAGGTGCTGAGCATGTGGGGGCTGTGTGTGCTGCACAGCAGGCTCAGATGAGTCATATGGCTGTGAGGAATGCTCCTTTGAGTTTGCTGCCTGGCTTTGCAGCCTTCGTCCTCTCCTGACCATCTTTCCAAGAGCTCAGACTCACAGCAGCAGCTGATCATGTCCAGGCTTCCAAGGACCAAGACAGTTAGTCAAAGCTCAAAGACCACCAGAGATATAGTATGGTGTTCATGCTGTCACCTTTTCAGGCAAAAAAAGAAAAAAAGAAAAAGAAAAAAGTGCCACAGAAAAGTGAGCTTCTGGAACGAAATGGACTTGAGCTAGAAACTCAGCTTCATTTCCCAGCTGTGGGACTGTGGACGAGATCCTTAACTTCCCTTTGAACACTGATGTTTCTGTGTCAAAGCATGAGAGGGCTGTGGGGGCCACTGAGTGAGTCAGCTTCCATAGAATTCTTTACAGTGCTGCTTCAGGTGTGGCAAGCATCCCCATTCTTCCCTGACTCCCTGATTTCCTTATTAGTAATAAGAACAATGCTCATTTAATCTCCATGAGCACTGTGCTCACTACTTGTTTAGAATACACAGGGCCAATTGCCTTCCTATGTGAGTTCTTCTCTATCAGTAGTTTCCTAAATTCTGTGCCTGGGCTGACTGCTGTTTCTTAGCCTCTCTTGATGCTAAGCCAAGCTATGAGGCAGTGTTTGATCTGCAGATTTAGATTCCAAAGTCTTCTAGGGGGCCCTGGAGAAGCTCTGCACTTTGGCCCTGGTTACATCTTCCTGTTTTCTGACCTAGGGCAGAGCTGCCTTCCGGCCTCTGTCAGGTGACCTCATGACAGTTGCCCAGGTGCTGGACAGCGGCTCTTCCAACCCTGCCACACCCACCTCTGGACTTGGGTTTATGGAGGCAATTTTCTGCATTTCGTTGGGTTTTATGCAATGCAGTCAGATTTGATCTTTTATTTACAAGTTTTTGACATTATCATTACACTAACAATGTTGAGATTTACAAAGTGAAGAACCTGCCCAGAATAAAATCTTATGCATCTAATAAATGAAGCATAGATTTGAATCCATGCCTTAAATAGTAAAATATAAAATTGAGACAATATTCCAAAATCCTTCCCCAATCTTCGGCCTGCCCTGTCTGTTCCAGAAGTTTGTTCTGATTTCTTACTCCTTTGTAAAATCCTCTTGATATTTTCCCAGACAGTAACTTTTGGAAATATCTGCAGTCCAGTGTTAATCTTGGCATCAAGTAGCTATATGATCTTGGCACACTTATTTAACTTCTCTAAGTAATTAACAAATGCCATAGCTTAAATCTTGGCACAGTGACTCATGTCTATGATTCCAGGAGTCCTGAGGCAGGAGGATTGAAAATTTGAGGCCAGTCTGGTCAATTTAGTAAGACTCTGTCTCAAGAAAAATAAAAAATAATTGTGCACGTAGCAAAGTCATAATTATTCAAATAAGTAATCTCAATAATCTCTAAACTTTTATTTGTAGTTGACTATTTATCTGGAAGGGCAGTTTAGCAGATTTCTAACTATCCCATTAGAAAATCATCAGTTTGTATTTAGGTAGCTCCATCCTGTGTATCTAGTAAGTAGATAACAAATGTTGATTAAAGACTGCAGTAGGATCAGCACAACATCTATTTATTTGCTCTCTTTTCTTTTGGGTCATTGACTTCTCATTCTTCGTATTTGCATCTGAAGTTGGCATCTCATTGGGTGGTTTAGAGGAGATGACTGCATGGAGGGCCAAGACCATTGCTTCCAAAGCGTTCAGCTCGCTTCAGCGGCAGCAGAAGCAAAGGGAACAAATCAAAGGCCCTAAAAAAGTCATGTTGGCAGGAAAAGGAAAAAAAATGCAAACTGTCCTTTGGGTGATTTAATACATTTGGCATGTAGATTCAGAAAAGTAATGTCCAAACACCAAACAGCAAACCAAAACAGCTTAGAAAGGTGAAAGCAAGCTGGGGGACTGTGGGGTTGAGTACACATTCCTTTATGAGGCATTTAGGAAACATAAGTGGCTAGAGCCTTAAAGAGTATTAAAAGAAGACTTGAATAACATTGCAAGGATCATGTGGTCTGCTGCGAATGATCAAACTGGGTGGAATGGTGAAGGAGGTAGAAGTGATTTGATGTAAGCAGAGACTTTTTTCCCTGATAGTCACAGGGAGAAGTAGCCTTGCAACTTGCCAGTGGCGCTGTCCGAGTGCAATGGGACAGGTCCTCTGTGCTGCCCTTGTAGCAGATTTAAAATCGGATCTTCTTAAAATACAGGTTGGTATTAGCAACACAGGCTAACAACAACAACAAAAAGAACTGAATGGCTATTATCACCTTGGTCTCTTTCCAAGGGCTTTCTCTAATTAGCCTGCTGACACTTCTGAGACTCCACTTGTCCATCTGGAAATGGAGCTCACACCTTACGGTGAGGATTTGCACTCTGTACAAGTTCTACACCTAAACAGCACAGTGGGCGAGGACTGACACACAGGACCTTCCCAGTGAACATCAGTTCTTCCAGTAACAAAGGGTAAATCTTCTTCTCTTCACTAATATAGACTCCAATTCAATTTGCTTTGAGTCTGTTATCATTAGGATCCAGTTTCTGTGTAAGGAGAATCTGAAAAAAGAGAGCCCTTTGTGTACTTCTGCGCTGTAAAAAAACTTGCTCTAAATAATACAATATATTTCTTTCCTCACAGGGTTTGCAATGTGCTTATATCATACCTGTAACAAAAGATTGACTTTTTCAAGCACTTTGCTGCCTTTTTAGTGAGACCCCCTTGGTGTATTTTGCAGGGACTGGACTGGGCAAACATGTGGCACAAACACTGTTTCTTCAGAGTGAATGTGTTTATTGCGCTACTGAAGGAAAGGAAGTAAATCACTCCTCCAGCAGCGCTGTGGACACTGGATTTAATTTAAAAAGTGAGAGGGCGAAGAACTCTGGTGGCATTTCTTGGTTACACTGCAGCTCCACAAAGTGGTTTCCTTGCTTTTGTTGCTTGTTCCTTTCTTGATGATGCCCATCTGACTGAGGGGGAGATGGAATCTCAGTATCGTTTTGCTTTGCATTTTCCTGCTAATGATAATGAACACGTTTTCATGTATTTATTATCCATCTGTGCTGCTTTGTGAGCTTTTAGTTCGTCTTAGTGAACGCTACTCAGGGTTCCCAGTGGAATTCACCTGGCACATCTGCTGGGGACAGTTGCACAGTAGCCACTCCGGAATCTTGGAAACCATTCAATTACATTTGTAAACATGGGGAAAGTGGGAGGCGAGGTACAGAGAGGAGCTCCCATTTCTTTTTTAGCTAGCATTCCACATATTCCAGTTCAGATTTTACCAAGAGGGCAGTGCCACACTGCAAAGGTTTTTGATGGTGACTTGTGTTTTATCAGGTGATTTGGTCTTTCTGGCTTAACAAAGAAAGCCAAAGCTAGGCATGGTGGTGCACACCAGCAATCCCAGTGTTACAGGAAGGCTAAAGCAGGAGGATCACAAGTTCTAGCCCAGCCTAGGAGAATTAGTGACTTACTGAGACTCTGTCTCAAAAACATTTTTTTTTAGGGGCTGGAGATGTAGCTCAGTGCAAAATCCCTGGGTTCAACCTCTAGTACAAAAGAGAAAAAAAAAGGAGAAGAAGAAGAGGAAGGAGGAGAAGCGGGAGATGTGGAAGAAAGCCAAGAGGCATTTTGTTTTTTCCCATTAAGTTTATTGGTACATTTTTGTTGCACAATGCAGTTACATTCATCATTGGGCTGTTGTACCTTTACATGATTCATCCTGGATCTTATTTTTCCCCATTCCCCTGCCCTCCCTTCACCCCTCCACCCTTCCCTATTTACAAAGACTTTGTTTCCATTTTTTCCTTTTCTCATAGTTTTTTCCCCTTCTTCCCTTTTCCCTCCCCTCCCTCTTCCCCTACACCTTTAGATGTTTTTTTTTTCCTCCTATGACACAGTATCAATTAAATATTTTGATCCTGATTTGCACTTTTAGTTTTGCACACCAGAGAAACTATTCGGTATTGACACGTGTGATTTTTTTTTTTTAAAGAAGGAAATTTAAACAAACAGTCCTGGAAGTGAGAAATCCGAAGTCGAGTTATTTCCAGAGCCACGCTGTCTCTGAAGACTCAGCGGGCAGCCGCCTCCTTGCTTCACCCTACTTCTGCAGGTAACGCTCAGCTCTTCTCAGCTTTGCGGAGACCACACCAATCTCTTCTTCCTTATCTACCACATTGCGCTCTGTGAGTGCTTCTGGGGCACTACTGTTACTTCTCACAAGGACACCAGTCAGCGGATTCAGGCCCACTGTGATTTGTGTGATCTCGTTTTCATTTAATTACCTACATCTGCAAAAATCCTGTTTCCAAACAAAGCCGCTTTCTGAGATTCCACTTGGACATAGATTTCTGGAGACCCTTTCCACCCGTTAGATAGGTGACTGGTAAAGAGCTGCATTTCCTTTCTGCTGGGAGGAAAACACAAATATACAACTGAAAATAAGACTAATTAGAGGACACATTAGCAATTAAACTGTGGCCACTTGCAAAGAAATACATGGTTGAAGTTGCTGCACAAATTATATAAACACAGCAAATCTGGTTCTCTTGGATTCCAGAACCAGAATTAAAGACTGACACCTTGAGAAAGATATGACTGGGGAGACCTAGACACTCAGCCTTCTCACTGGGCCTCTGTCAGTAGTCTTTGCACTAATTGAAACGAAAAGTATAAATACGGATCAAAATGTATAACTGTTATGGTGTAATAGGAAGAAAACATCTAAAGGAGTAGGGGAAGTGGGAGGGGTGGGGGAAAAGAAAGAAGGGAAAAGAAAAAACATGTGAAAAGGAAGAACATGGAAACAAAGTCTTCGTGTAAACAGGGAGGGGCGGAAGGGGTGAAGAGTAGGCTGAGGAATGGGGAGAAATAAGAACCAAGATGAGTCTTACAAAGGTCCAAGATCCCAGTGATGAATGTAATTGTACCAATAAACTTAATAGAAAAGAAATAGTAAAAGAGGAGATTGTAAAATGGGGCTTTCAAAGTGGGATCAAAGGACCTATGAAATTTCAAAGTTGAGAATAATTCGATGATAAGTTTTATGTAAGTCTCAGTATTTCTAGAATGACTCTGTTCCTATTCTGATTTCCCAAACAAAAATTGTATTGTCATAATCGGAAAAATGTTGAGTTTATTGATGTTCACATTTGCACAAATCATCTTCGGCATAAGATAGACAACTTGATGACTCCATTGAAAGGATTCAGTACAGTAGCTAAAAAGGACACCCCCACCCCATGGTTCTGCAGAGTGGTGGAAAATTTTATGATAAATTTGTTTGATCAGGAAAGGCTCTTTTGGAACAAAGTTATGGAAAGACTGAGTATACTTACTTAGTAGGACATAAGACTCCAAGACTAGGGCTGTAGTAGATGCAGAAGTAGGAAGGAAATTAATAAGGCTTGACAATTTATTTAATAGGTAAAAATTTTTCTAAAAAATCTGATCTGCAAACAAGTCTGATGCAAAGAGATGTTCTTGGACCCATTTGGTAGGGATGATGTAAATTCTTTGACAATGACTTTGACTTTTGCGAATGTTTCTATGGGCACGTTTGCTTCCACGCTAGTGATCTCTGTGACTCTCAGAGTAGGACTGTTTACAGGCATGGAAAGCTGAAGGAGGTGTGATAAGAGACTATCTTTACTTTGGGCGATTTCAAAATTGGAGATGCAGATCATTTCTGAAAAGAAGACAATATTTTGTGTGTAATTAGTCTTTCATCGCAGTCAACAGTTTCCCTGAGAAAGCATGCAGGTTTCTCACTCCCCGTCCATGCCCCTGGTCCCTGTCCCCTCAGCCCTCTGACCCAGACTTTCTGGCAGCAGATCGGGGTTCACAGAGCCGAAACAGGCAAATGTGCAGTGCCTGCCGACGTGGCCTCAGCAGAAGATCCTCACTGTGACGCTCGATCTGAGAAGGAGAACATGTCTGAAAGCAGCTCCCAAACCTCAGAGCAATCTTCCTGCTGCTTCTGGAAGATCTATGCTCCTCCAGCAATGGAGCCCCAGCAGCAGATGCAGCACCGAAGAGAGGGCAGAATTTATGTTCTTCTTTAACCTGCAACTGAATTTTATTTGAGGGCAAACCTAACTCTTTTCTGCAGCCAGAACTACTGGCTGATGCTGATTTGTGTGGTGAAGGTATGGTGCGAGCTAATGATTCCTTCATGTCAGGAAGACATTCCTCTCTCTCTCTCTGGTAACTCAGGGTACATGGAGCAATCACACACATTGTGGTGTTTAACACTCTCCTTTGGAGCACACATCTTTGGCTACTAGAATACAGCAGATGTTGTAGTGAAAGGGATAATGGGTGATACTGGCCCCTGATTTGCATGTAACAATAAACTTTTGTAGACAAAAATATGGGGCTAAACAAGAATAGCGAGAGACACTTACCAGGATACTGAAAAATAATTAAATGCGAACGTCCATTCACAGTT